AGCAGGCAGCTGTCCAGGGGAAAGGGGGTGCGCGGGTTCCCTCCCCTCCTCCCGAACACAAAGGGCTCGTCAAAAGGGATTTCGATGAGAAAAGGTTTAATCATCTTTAATGCACTTAAGCAGAGATTAAAAATGAGCAGGGCTTTCTGGTGGGCAGAGGATGGTTTCAAAGACACCCTCCCCCCCCAACGCAATGGCTTTTCCTTCGGGATTTCTATGAGGCAAAGGCAGGGCCTTGCACTGCTCTAAATTAAAATGGTGAAGAATGGCATTAAGGGGGACCCAGCCAGGAATTCCCACTTTTCTCCCAAAAGAGATACGGCCCCGATGTCGAGGAGTAGTAGGGTATCACGGCTTTTTCACTCCTTTTCTCCCTCCTCCTTTCTCCTGGGTGAGACCTGGAAGAGGAACGTGCCCTTTTCCTTTGGGAAAGTCTCAGGAAAAGCTGAATCCCTGGGGACCCCCTTCCCGGGGGGGAAGGGTGCTGGTGTCATTTTTTTCCCCCTGCACATCTAAAGATGTCACCTTGCGCTCATGTGACCAGCCGTGTCTCATGGAAGTGTCTGGCCCCTATCCCAGCTGGGTGAGTCCCAGCGTGTCCCACTCCACCTGCACTGGCTCAAGGCGGGGGAATGAATCACAACCACGCCACATCCAGCTGCATCCCCGCTTCCAGCTCGCCACATGGAAAAATTATAGAACAGAAGGGTTTGGGTTGAAAGGGACCTTTAAAGATCATCTAGTACAAACCCCCCCGCCACAGCCCGGGACATCTGTCACTAGATCAAGTTGCTCAAAGCCCCGTCCAACCTGACCTTGAACACTTCCAACAACGGGGCATCGATTAGACGAGCTAGGGAAATGCAAAAGGCCAAGGAAGATTTTCCAGGTGCTGGTGGGAGGATAAGAGCTTCCTGCTGCATCCTGCAAACTTCGGAGACTAATTAGAGGTAACCCCTGTTTCGGCCGAGGGATCGTTGGGAGGTGGCACAGCCAGAGCTGCTGCTGCAGCAGTTGACTAACCACGGTGCTGGATTTAAATATGGTAATTCTGGAGCTAATTACCAAAGCAATGTTAGGGCATGAGGGAAGATCACAGGGGAGAGGTGTAAACTTGCAGTGACCGCATGGGATGGAGCAGGACTCTCTTGTTAATGAAATATCACCCAGGCTTTTGATATTATCTACCAAGATCTTGTGAGTTAAGGATGAAAGCCTGGAGGACACCCTTTAGGTCAACTGGGCAGGTCTTCTGCATGACATGAACCAGAGGACAGCCCAGAACCTTGCAGCAGGCAGGATAAAGCTTGGGTGGCTTGGTCAGATCCCATCACCGTCAGAGAACCGCTGCTTCATCTGACGCGTTGTTTCTGTAATGAAGCTTCCTTGTGGGTGACCTCTTTCTCTCGAACTAGTCCGGTTTCGGCTCCAGCCCTGATTCCTGCTCTGCCCTCCCCATTCCTCCCAGGAAAGTGGGGCAGATGGATATGAGCTGCCCGGATGCAGCCCATCCCAGCGTGGAAGCCGGCTCGTGATGATGCTGCATGGCTGCAGCCAAGCTCCAGGAGCCCAGGTAAGACACACCAGCTCTAAGCATCCCTCTCCCACTTGGATTTCAGTTTTGTGGCTCTTTTTTATGCTTTTAGGTAGGCAGCACACCAGCAGTGAGTCCCTTTCCAGGTCATGTCCTGCAGTACAGCCTGTGCCTCCTTCCACGCGTGACTTTGGCTGGCTGAAGTCCATTTTGTCCCAAGGAGCCCAGCTCCCACCAGTTTCCATAGGGAGTGGGGGTTGCTCCCCACCAACGTGTAGCCTCTTGGCAATGGGAGAGTTGTCCAAAAGCACGGGACAGTCTTGCAGAGCCACAGAGGGGGAAAGCTGGGATGGAAATGGGAGCGACAGCCTCGGCTTTTCCTAGACCCCCTTGCTCTTGCTAATGATGGGAGGTTTCTTAGCATATGAAATATGAACCAGGAGCAGTTCAAATGGAAAATTTCTGACTTGGGGTGGGACAGGAACGAATCGGACTCCTTGCAGGCTCCTGGTTCATGGGATTGGGAGGAGCTGCTGTGCAGTAACGTCCTGGCTGTCATCACTTTGCTTTTGGCTCTGCTGAGTCCAGTCCTCTTGAAGGAGAAAGACAAGGGAAAAGGCCATGAGTGGCTGCAAGCTGCGACTGCTCCATGATAGGGTTTGGGGCTGCTCTGAGAGCAGGGTCTTTGCTGGGTGGCCGAGAGTCCCCTTGGGAGTCAGACACTGGGAGAGGTGCCACCCATTTCACCTGCAGCTCAGGAGGGTGCCCTCCAGCACATCCTTCCTGCTGCGTGCCTGGCTTGGGGTCTCCTAAGGTGCAGAGAGCTGGGCAGGGGGCAACCAAAGGGACCTGGCTTCCCCAGGGTGGATGGGAGAGAGGCACGTGCTGGTCCATCCATTCTCTGGGCAGAGGGCAATGTGGCTATGAGCCTCCTCCCAGCACTCCCTTGAACCCGTCTGAGCTGACTGTGCCCAAAATGAGCAGCTCTGGAGCAAGTTTGGGCTGAGACATGCTCTGAAGCATGAGGCAGACATCCCTCCGGGCCTGGCTGCTCAGGCACGTTGCAGGGCTGCGGGGAGGTGAGATCCTGCACCCCTTTCAGTCCAAGGTTGATGTCAAGCTGGCTGAACTCCAAGGTGAACAACTATCGCTCGTAAGAGCAGATATTACTTGAGTTTGTCTTCTATTGATTAGACATTACTTTAAGATGAGCTAAAGTAAGCCCCTCGAGGCCAACGAAGCATGTCTGCAGGGGAGATGCACTATTTACACTAAATCACAGGATAAAAAGGCCAAACAGATCCAAACCCATTTCCCCTCTCCTTGCCCAGCTCCGAGGCAGGTGATGTTTGGTTTTGAATTAGAGAAGGGCTTTGTTCCTAGACAAAAGCTTCGTCTTTGAAATGAGGCCGACTCCAGCTGTGCGCAGAGCTCTCCGGCACTCTGGACTCCAGCTGCTCTGGAGATGTTCTCTTAATTTGCTTTTGATGAATATTTCAGTGCTGCCAATAGCCCTGGAGACTGCAAGCTCCTGTCTCAGCCCAGAGTTCACCTGTTTTGCAGGAGCCTTTTATTTTTCACTTACAGAGAGTGAAAAATAAAAACAACGAAGGAGAAGAAAGAGTGAGCAGCAGTGGTGATAAGCAATTTGGGGGGACCAAAGATCTTCGGTACCCATAGATCTGGGTTTGAGTGCCTGAGTTGGGAGGCACAGAGGTGGGAGGGTGGCTTAAGAGAACATGCCCACCATACCAGTTCCTTGGCCGTGCAGCCCCGCAGGAGCCCCATCTTCACTGCAGAGCAGGGTCACAGGCTTGTTCCTGCACCTGGTCCTCAGTGCCCCATGCTGTGCCTCAGGCACCCCACAGTGAGGAGGATGGTGACCTCATACAGGGGGCTTTCTGTGTGACCTCAGAGCAGAGGGATGGTGGCTTGGGGACCCCTGCACAGGTGGTCCAGGGACCCTGCAGCAGGGAGGATGGTGGTCCAGAGACCCCCTGCATGGGTCACTGTGGGACACTGCAGTGAAGAGGGGATGGTGGCCTGGGGAACCCTCCCGAGGGATCAGCTGGGGACCCCATAGCAAGGTGAGACCGTGGCCTGGGGACTCCCATGTAGGTGGAATGGGGACCGTGCAGCCAGGCGGACAGTGCAACATGGACACACACTGGGGCCAGCTGAGGACACCACAGGCAACGTGAGTG